GAATTCTGTGGCACAAATGGGGCCTGAGAAACTGCCAAAAAAGCAACGTCGTGTTTGAGTCAATTTTGCAACTAAAAAACACGCAAATCTAAAACTTCATGAAACCAAGACTTTTTTGAGAAAACTGCCAACATTTCCTTATTGATGGTTCACTTTCTAAAAAGGCCATTTAGTTCTCGCTGTAATGATGTAAAGATGAGCCCTCTGGCTCATTTTGCTTTCGAGAAATGAGTAAAAACGGGACGGAAAACATGAACATTTTTCATAATCTTTGCACCTAAGTGTCTGATATTAAATTTTCTCTTTCTGGGTCAAAACCACTCGCATTTCCTCACTCATGTGGTGATGACTAAATCGAATTTTCAATTCTGTATCCAACGATGGCAAAACGAATTCTGTGGCTCAAATGGGGCCTGAGAGACTGCCAAAAAAGCAACGTCGTATTTGAGTCAATTTTGCAACTAAAAAAAAAACACGCAAATCTAAAGCTTCTTGAAACCAAGACTTTTTTGAGAAAACTGCCAATATTTCCTTATTGATGGTTCACTTTCAAAAAAGTTTTTTTCAGTCACATTTTTTTGTTTTTAGACTGAGTGAAAAAAATGGTGGTTTATCGGGCAAGTATTAGAATCTGTGCTTTGATGGTTTGAAAGTTTAGTGAAAATGTAGAAAATTTGAATAGTTTTGCACTGGCAAACATCCAAGGCAAGTTTTCCGTAATATTGTGCAATTTATTGATAATTTATACAAAAGTTGTTTGTCGGTGGAGTCAAAAAATCTTCAAATTGGAACAACATTCTATTTAATTTCTTTCGCAATATCAATTATATTCTCCACAGTAGAATTTTTTTAAAGCCACTAAGAAATATAGCTATTGCTTACCAGAAACCTTAGAGTAATTAGGCAAAAATTGCCTCCTTGACACACTTACCGGCTTGTAGGACTATCAGCTTTAACGATGCCACATTCATTGGTAAGAAGTTGTAATTTTAAAGTAACCATTGTGAATTTGCCTTGGCCCACAACGAAACATTCCTTATTTTCGGAATTTCCGTGCATGTATAATTTTCCGTGAAAATTTGTTTCGGGTTGATAGCGAATGGTCATGTAGCTTTCAGTGCATGAAACAGTAACTGAATCCAAATTCAGTGATTGAATTAGTTAAAACCCAATGATTTAAGGAATACTTACTATTAAGGCATCGAGCTTTTTCGTAATAAGTCGCTCCTTGTTTGGAAACGAGGATTCTTGGACCTCTGAGCTTTGTGTCCTCACTGTGCAAAATGCACTTTTTCCCACTGTCCAAGCTAAACCCTCTGCAATTGAATGCTTGGTAAACCTCGCACTGATGTTGGCATTGATCTTTGGTCATATTTAGCAACCTTAAGTCCTTGTGCTTGAAAGCAACGTCTCCGTATTCTTCGTAGGTACAGTATTCATTATCTTGATGCTCTAAAAGGAAACTTTATGTAGCAGATCAGCCTTCCAGGAAAATTCCCCCCTTTCTACGTGCCTGTAGGTGGATTATCCCGGATTTTTGTGCACTGGTTTTCCAGGTAATAATCATCATAAGTTGAAACTCTATAGGAAGTGGGCATTAAGTGCCTGTCACTGTTGCTCAGAGTGCATAATCCCACAGTCTCATTTTGAGCAGAACTGACTCTAAATTTAACGGATCTGCAGTCAAAATCGGTTTCATCCAAGCAGTTTTGCTGGCATTCCGATCTGGACATGTTTCTGGGCAGAGCTTTAGTGTCATTGCCTATCAAAGTGGCTCCTCTGACTGTTTCAAACACCCACGATTTGTTACAACCTCTTTCTAAAATATTTTAGAGGTTTTTAAAGAGATGAATTTTTATTCACTGAGCTCACCTTCTTGCAGACAGACTTTAACAAACCATGCTGCTGCATTATCAACTTCCATTCCAGACTCATTCCTGATAAATGTTTGGTCGTTCTCAAACCAGTAGCAATCAGAAGTGTCGTAAAAGAGTACAAAGCTTTGACATTTTTCGTTTTTCTGGCAATTTTGCAGACATTGAATAGTAACGGCGGCATCAGTTTCGTTTTGATTCAGAGGGACTAAGAGCTGTTCTCGATTCAAGTTGATTGGGGGAAGGCCGATGATTTTTTCGAATTTTATGTTCGATTTTGGGCAATTCAGCAGGCGAGCAGCAAATGCTGGAATCACATAATGTGAAGAAAGCACAATCAGGAAGTTTTTAGACTTGGGGTTGCAGATTGTTCCTATGCGGAGTTAATATAGGGAGATAAAGAGCAACATTTTTTTGCCCGATATTTATAATTCGTCATTTACAAAACTGAGATTTAGTTTCATGACTGATGGTCTGATTTCAATCACCTTTAGACAACATACTAATAAGATTTGTGTTTGAAATAGTTTTCTATGATTCCAAAAATTCCCCAATTATCGTTATTTGTGGGTGTTTTTTAAGAATTCGTATTAGTTCAACTTAAAAAAAATTTCACGTGTATTTATACGGAATTTTTTATAGTCAAATCGGTAGGAAGCAGATTGCGCTCGCTAAATGTGTTTTTTAGGATCTTATTCGTTTGCTTTCGTCCGTTTTGTTGATATCTGGGGAGCGATCTAATTTTGTCTGTTAAATAACGCGTTATTTTATGGAATTTATTTAGAAATTAAGGCTAATCTGTTTTCGTGGAATAGTAATTTTGCAGCTCTATTTTTGCGGTTTTGCTTTCAGCAGAAACTTGGTAAAGCGGGTAAATATCGATCGAATCATTCTTTGAAAGCCCCATAAATTTCGAGAATTAAAGACCCAAACTAACCCAAGACTCAGTTTTTTGTGTTCATTGCTTTGGTTTGAATGAGAACTGCTTGCATTTTAAGAATCGGGTTTGTGTAATTTTGCGTATAATTTACTTTGGTAACTGCAAAATTCTGAAAATGTCCGATTCACAGTTGAATTTGACTATCAACCAGTCTCAAGACCAGAAATGGTCTCTAAAGGGAAATTTTTTAAACATAAATCGTGGATATAATTTTTGGTTTTGAATTTCAAAATTATAAAAATTGTAAAAACTTACAACTGAGACAATTAGAAAATGCAAAAGTAAGAAAAAATAATTACAAATCATGAAAAGAGCAAGAAAGCCTAGTTCAAAATCAAAGGTATATTAGTTAAATAATTCATGAATTAGATAATTCAATTGTTTGCTCAAAATGAGTATTTTGGAATTTTTGCATCAAAATCTTTAACATGGAGTATGGCGTATTGCCGTTTCTTTGATAAATTGTTCATTCATATTTTCTTCCGAATATTTTTCTAATGATATTCTTTAAGTTTACTGTTACTAAGATTGCAAAAATTTTCGTTTTAACTTAAAACAAATTCTGAACGGAATTTCGGTTAAATTATCCAATAATGAAGCTTTTTGAAGATTTAAAAATACAATTTGTTGTTCCGAAAGTTTCAAAAATCAAGTCTGCAGCTCCAAAGTGTGGATGAATTAATGTTCTTAGTTAGTTTTTCAGCATATTAACTGCACATTTTTGGCAATTTTAATACAATACAAACATGCCCCTAACAACTAAATTATTAGCTTCAATCATTAGTTCAAGTGCACGAAATCGTATAAATTAAATTAACTGAATGCGAAACGGCGATTTTTATTGCAACCTATAAAAATATCTTTTTGTTTCATAAATTAACCGAGGACGACACAGCAATAAATACATATTGTAAACTTTTTCAATGTATGTTTTCATTATCATACACTTTTATGAAGATACATATAATTAATTATATGCGTGTTGTTTACATGAGAAATCATGGAAAAACGCCAGGGATACTTAAGTTATTTTTTGAAAATTATTCTCGGCAACGCGTCTTTGTTACTTCAAAAAATAATTTTCTTTGCTGAATTTTCGGTTTGTCGGTTATATTTCTTAACTCCTGCGAATTAATTTTGTTAAAATTTATTTTTTTCTTTCCTAAATTTGATCATGGCCCTCAACAGTGAAGCCTGCAGCTTGGATTTTTGCTGTTGATATTTTTTCCAATTATCTAATTTAATAATAAGCTAATTAGCATTAGCAAAAGAAAAGCACGAAACACGCATGAAACGTAAGAAGATAATAAATTAAATTAAGTAAAGTTGTGAGTGGTTAAAATAAGTAAATGTTTCAATTTTATTTATACGAAATGCGGAAAATCTATTTTCACTATTATATTGTATGCTTATCAATTATAAAACTAGTTCAAGTGCAAATAGTCACATAAATGAAGTTTGCTGCAAAACAGCGACGTTTACTGAAATGTACGAAATTACAATTTTGTTCTATAAACTCTGGTTATATGGCTATATGGAATAAATAAAATACTCTATTTCGATCAGTTTTAAAGCTCTAATCAGCAATTTTGATATGTTTAATTATCTTACATTTTACAAAAAAATAATGTAAATTAAATTTAAAAAGTCCTTTGTTTTCGTATCAATTCTTGTTTTTTTTCTTGTTAAATGTAGTTGATTGTAGCTAAATTGGAAACATCCGTGCAACTTACCGGCGTTTGCTTTAATTAGAAGAATTGCCCACAAAACTCGAAACATTATTGCACTTGCACATTATTTTATTCGACTTTTTATAACAATGATTATTTATTGATATTTGCTTAAAATTTGCGGATCAGAGGTTTGCTTATAAGAACATCGACGTCTCGAAGAAGTCGCAGTCGAAAATGAAAATAGTCTGAAACAATTAGGTACCACTCGCGTGTAATTTGACGAAACAATATTGAAAACGCAGTACCACCATGAGTAAAAAAATTGCACTGCATGATTGACACAATCGACTATCTGTATTACGTAAATAATATTGTCCTTGTTGAAAATACAGAGGGTACCTTTACCTATTGTCGGTTTAGGTGCAGGTACCGCCAATAGAATCATAGGAGGATGCATTGCGTTTATATGCACTTTGCTTTTCAGTGTCCAGACTAAGTTTAAAAATTTAAAGCTTTTAAGTACCGCGTAAGAAAGTTCAATGTTTCTTTTTAATTTTTTATTTGTCATGTCAATTCATTTAGGCCTGTTTTCAAATTATAAAAAATTCTCGGAAAAAACTTGCATTTATGATAAAAAGTGAAAGTTTCGTGGTCAGTCATCAATAAATAATCCACTTAAAGAACAATATGGGACGTTCCCATTTTGTTTAACAAAGCGGATCCTATTAACCTGTCGATGGCCATTTATGCGGTGTATTACAATCAGTGAATGGTAATGAAATATTTATTTAAAATACGTCGATCACTCAATACGATCCAGCTTAAAGTTGGAGTCAAAGTTGAATAATGACTCTCAGCACTTAATTTCTATTAGGCTTCAAAACTTCCGCAATAAAAACTATTTGTTCGAAATGATCTGGTTTTTGTGTTAGTGAAAAACAACAGAAAATTTATTTAAAATACATGTTACATGGCCGGCTATTGTTAATGACTCATTTTTACATTAACTAGTTGCAAGGTTAAACTAGGTGCATTATGATAATTCAGGTTCAGTGACGATATCTAGCGCTTTGATATTGCTGGGAATTAATCTAAGTTACTGAGCCGTAAAACAAATTATTGCTTTCTTCGTAAAAAAATGTATTTCCAAATGCTTTTAACCGCCCAGTATTGTGCTGCAATGCGAACAGCATACAAATAACACGGTGTCACAATGTGAGTGATAATCAAAAACCCATGTTGGTATTTGATAATCATTTGAAATTGGCAATTTCGTAGATGTTCTGTTTGAATTGCGTTATAAACGCCCCTATAAATATGGTTTGTAACTAACTAACTAAGCAGATAGTTACAAGTCGCAACATTTGTTGGAAAATGTCGTTTTGTTTAATGATAACTATTGGCAAATGTTCATAATTAATATGGTGATTTTTGCGGTAAATATGGGTATTTGGGACGAGTTATATTTGTGTTGATCTAATTTAGTTATAATTTTAAGTAATTATTTGAAGTTTTCTGTTCAAGAGTAGAAGTTGTTTGAACTAGTAGCGATTTAATTGCCTGATGCAAAATTATGGTCAAACTTTGTACAATTTTGCACCAATAACAAAACATCCGCAGGCAAAATATTTGCAAATACTTCCAACAATTTTTCCCAGCAAAACTTTATATTAAATAACCATTCTAATTATGTCAAAATAAAAGTAAAAACTGGTGACTTTTACATAGTGTGTAAGCTTTAGAGCGGAAAAATCTCTGATGGTGCAAACTCGAAGGCCCACAAATCCAAAAAACCTCATCACTGTCAAGTCGAATTCCAGTTTCATTTGGCGATGGAAAAATTGTATTGATTTTATGAAATTTTATATATTGATTTTAGAGCAATTTAAAATTTCAATTCTTTATCCAACGATGCCAAAACGAATTCTGTGACTCAAATTGGGCTTAAGAAACTTAGAAAAAATCACCGTCATGTTTGAGTTTATTTTGTTATTTGCTCAAAACTCAAAAAAAAAACGCGCAAATCTAGAACTTCTTGAAATCAAGACTTTTTGAGAAAACTGAAGAAAAGAAAACTTTCTTAATAGGCCATTTAGTACTCTGGAATGATGTACAAATGAGCAAGCTTATTTTGTTGCGTATTTTGTTTCCGAGAAATGAGTAAAAACGGGACGAAAAGCCTAAAATTTTTACCTAATCTTGCACCTTTTTGGGTCAAAACTGCCCGATTTTCCTCACTAATGTTGTTATGACTGAATAGAATTTTCAATTCTCTATTGAATGACGCCAAAACTAAATTTATGCCTCAAAAGGGGCTTGAGAAACTCAAAAAAAAGCAGCATGATGTTTGAGTCAATTTTGCAACTTAAGAAAAAACACGAAAATCTAAAACTTTTTGAAATCAAGATTTTTTTGAGAAAACTACCATCGTTGCGAAAATACTGCCAACGACGGAAAAACATAGTAGTAGAACATAGAGCACATAGTGGCAATTATATAATTGTTCGCAGAAATTGCAATTTTATTCGAAAATTTATATTATTATCTTTGAATGATTTGAACTTTAACGTTTCAGTAGCGAAATTATCTGTAAATTTTGTAAAATTCTGATATACACCATGTTTTACAACTTAAAATGATAATTATTCTCACTGAAAGTGCCGTTTACAGCCATATTTCTCAGTTTAATGAGAGCAAATAAACAACGAATATTGTAAATTTTTTTGACGTGGAAGACAGAGGCAAATATTAAGAAAATGTAATATAACAAACGTTAGTGATGAACAAGATGGAGAAAGTGGTTACTTGGAAAAACTATTATGAATAAAAAATAAAAGATCTTGCTGGTTTCTGTAATGTCGTATTTTTTTTTAGTATTGTTTTATGCATTTCTTAGATTATTTCTTTGACTACTGCTGTAGAATAAGTTTGGGCTTAATTTTCAAGATTTGAAAGAAATGTTTTAAAGCATTGTTATTGAGTAAAAATGAGTTTGAATTAGTCAAATTTAGTTATAACGTAAATAAGTTGCATCTGACACTTATTTAGGTGGGTAGTAAATGATCTGAGATGATAAAATATAATAAATAAAATGGTAAAAAAATAAATAAGAGGGAAAAATTACATTAAATAACAGAGAAAAAATGTGAATCTTTACATTGATCAAACTCAATATGAACTGGCCGAATCACGCAAATATGACGAAAAAATCAACAAATTAATGAAGCGAAAAGAAAGTGTGAGGTCGTTCAGATAATTCAACTTCCATGAGTGAGATGCTTTTATTTGTGTAAACTTTGTGGAAAAATGCATGATACATTTTTCGTAACACATACATGCTATTAAAAGGCATTTTTATGCAAATTAAGTAATTAACATATTTAACAGTTCAATAAAAATGAACAAAAAATGACCAAAAGGTAAATTTAAAAAAATGCTAAAACGTAACTTTCTACTAATATCAAATGTTGGGATTTTCACTATTGTTAAAAAAATGTTTACATAACAAAATACCCTTAAACTATCCGTACTCATGGGGGTTTCGTTAGAATTGTGCAAGTTTGTCTTAATGCAACCATTTGAACTTACTCAAACCTGAAAAAAAAAGTATGTAATTTTTTTCTTAACTAAATGTACTGCAGGTTTCACTTACAAAAGTATCTCAGTCTTCTATGAGATTTTTCGCAGGCTATTTTTCTGTTATAGATTGGGGCATACAAGACGTACACTGCGGGTGGGTCTTTTCTTAAATTCATCCAGTAATGAGTTGAGTGACTGAAAAATCAAAGCAATTCATGCAACTCGGCCAATTAAAGAAAATGTAAGTGTGACTTGGAAGAGGAGGAGAAAAATTATTATCAAAGATGACATAAATAGTGTTCATTACATGAGAGTAAACTTCCTTTTCGGCTGGTGCACCACAACGGTCTATTGCTTCCAGTACTGGCTTAACACAGTTATCAGCCTCTATGAGAACATCGCAGACTAATATCATGTCTTCATCTATTCGCTCAATGCAAGTGAATGATTGGTTTAATTTATCCTAAAAATGACGTGACCGCAAATATCTATGCATCCTTAAATTATTATTTACCTCTAACAATGTGCCGTCTTTAGGGCAGATTCTTCGTGCGATGTCAATAGAAGCTCGCTTTAACATTCTGCTTGCGGCGGATTCACTTGGTAGATTTTTGGCTTGTACTTTACTTTTCTCCCATGCTAGTGCTGCTATTTATATATGAAATTTTTCTGCAGTGTGGTAAAATGGTATTTCTATTACCTGTGAATAGGAGCGCAACCATTGCCAATTTTAAGAACGCCATTACAATATTAACTAAGTCAGGTTGGTGCTTTTGATGTGGAAGTAAAGTAAATCAGTTACTGAGGTCACTGAAATTGAACTAAGATAATCTTCCTTTAAATAACTGCAAAATAGGGCTCGTTAATGACGGTTTAATTAGCTGACCGAGTCAACCTAATTAACTTTTTTGATTAATGCAATAATTTGTTTTGTTTGCATTAAAATTGGGATTCCCAATGCGCTCATCTCCAATAAGTGAGCAAGACTCGTCAAATTTCTTGGATTTTAGCACAAATGCTCCTAAAGTTCGTCTTGAAAAACGTGCAAATTTCGACAATAAATTCAAGGTAATTACAATTATTGTCCTTCTATTATAAGCCATTGAGGATTTGTGTTTGTACTTATATTGATACTTTCAATTCCGAAACATGTTTGAATCGGACCGAAATTCTGCGATAGGAAAATAGTTATTTTGTCCTCTGTTTATTTCCGCTATAAATGAAGCAAAAGTTGTTAAATTTGATGACTGGTTAAGATCTTGAAACCTTTTTGTCATTTTTTATTGGATTGGGAAGTATTGGAAAAAAGCAATTATTACCAAAAGTGTTTTTTTGCAAGTAAATCGAAAACTAATAATTGTAGAAAAAATATGTTGTCACAAAATTTGATTAGTTTTTAGAGCTCTACGCATTCATATTTAATTTAGCAAAAGGCCACTTTCAGTTTACGAGCGACTCTAACTTAATTTTTTTTAATACGGACCTGAGATATTTTCTCGTTCTTTAAAATGCATATTTTCTCCTAATTTTAATGATGTACTCCATTTCATCCTCATTTCAACTTTTCCCGACGTTCTTGTGGAATAATTCATCACCAAGCTTTAGTATCGAAAAATACAAGTCGGAACCTGGATTTGAGTAGCAAATTGCATGTTTTTCTTTATACTTTTAGAAACTGCCTTTGAAAATAATCACAAATTTTGCTTTGTTCTTCACTAAGAATCATGAATTTTAGGAGTTGAACGAAAAGAAATTCCCATAATAAACCAAAAAACCTTAAGAAGTATACTTTTTTGGCTAAAAGGTATATCAATATTGTTTAATTAATTGAATATGACGCCGAAAAATCTAAAATATTGACAACTCAGCCACTCATATT